AACACATACTATTTAATTATAATATTTTATTGTTTTCATTTATAATTAATGGAAATCTTTCTAAAATAATTAGTTTACAATTTTCTGGCAATTGATAATGGTTTAGCTACTCTTCACAGATAAAATATATTGTCAGGACTGGGAGATGACACAAAGGGATGGAGGGATGGAGCACATGAGTTTGATCCTTGGTTGTGCCTGTCCTCTGAGCCAACAGTGGACTTAGCCCTAGTAGCTTCCAGATACCACTGGGGTGACCCTAGTAGACCCAACAGAACTAGATTAAGAACAGCACCAATTTACCAGCCAAACATTACAGAGAGCAATCCTGAGGCCCCTGAGCATGACCTGGAAGGGCCTTCTGAAAATATTGTCAAATACAAGCATGCTTCTTCCACCATAATGCACTGTAGGGTTACCTCTTGGTACTTTATACAGTGTTAGTACTGTTACAGAATGGTGCTATATTAAACAAACAAAAAAGAGTTCCCTTATAATTTTTGCTAATTTCTAATCTCTTTTTTGACAGGTGAGAAGATTAGATAAGATCATGGGCAACACAGTGAAATTTGTATCATTTTGATTCCTCTCTTGTCATTTACTCACCGTATTGCGTTAGGCCACATAATTCATCTTTTTGAGTTTCCAAGTGTTTTTGTTGTTATTGTTGCTCCTTTGTTTTGATTTATAGTTTTTTAAAGCAAAACAATGGAAACCATAGTCATCCTTTTGTGTTCTTGTGACATTGAAACACCATCTAAATAAGACAAGTAAGCACTGAAAATAGGATGGCTATTAACTTATTTCGTTCTTTATTATATGTTTAGCTATCAATCACATGTAAAGTACACTTGTGAACTACTTCCTGCTTCAATGCCTTTTGAAATAACCTGCTCTGAGATCAAAGAGATGTGAAGGTTCTCTCTTTGCTCTTTCTCCTTTTTTCTCCTCTCCTCTTCCTTTCCTGCCCTCCCCTCAAAACGCCTCCTCTCCCTTCTCCTCCCCTCTCCTTGCCCCCCTCCATACTGCTCCCCTCCCTGTGTCTCACCCCCTTCTCTTCTCACTATTTTATCTTTATTAAGTGGTCATAATTTTTTATTTGAATAAAATTTGTGAATCAGTACTTTCAACCTTTCAATTTTGAACATTTTTTAAACTTGAGGAATTTAATAACTTAATCCCTGTCAACAACTTTAGAGAAGGAAAAGTGCTAGGATTATTTTAATCATTTGTATTCCTGAGCCATATCTTAAATGTATATTTTTACAGGCTTAAAATTCTAATTTACTAGGTTTTTTTACTAGAGAAGTATTTTCAACTCTATAGATTTGAACTTCATCTTCTCTAAAATAGGAATAAAATGTTTTTTACAGTTCAAAATGGTGTCATACTAAACTCCTGATGCAACAGCAATCAGATCTGTAAGTAAGGCTGTTATTATACAGAATAATAACTTTCAGACTCTACATAGATTATTCCCAACATGACCACACATTTTAGTCACTGGGAAACTTTAAAGATACTCATATTCAGGTATTAGTTCAGAACAATGAGTTGTACATATGTATATATACATATGTGTATAAATATACATATATGTATATATACACACATATGTTATATATGTATCATTGTATATATACTCAAAATATCATTGTATATGTACTCAATATTTGTACCTAGGTATCTATACTTTATCCCCATTGTTCCCATTTGATTCTATGACTGATAGACATGTCTGTCATTTAGAGCATGTCAAGTGATCCCAATAATCAGCAAATAGTACCCAAGAGAGGTACATTGGTTAATGGAATAGGTGTTAATCCTTATTGAAGAGGAAAGATTAAGAACTCAGCCTCTAACCAAGAAAGTCTGCGGAGCACAAAGCTATTATTAAAAGTACTGAATGTTGAAGGGGAAAACCACTGAAAAAAAAAGTGTACTAAAATAAAACACCCAGGGTATTAAATTGTTTCAGGCATTGAATGTTTCAACAACAATTACACCACGAGTATGACCATCCCTCACCGTTGTTTACAGTTTCCCACCTACCACCCAAGTCTTTCCCCTAGGTGGGCACAAAACTATTTATTTATTTTATATAAAAATATATAATAAAATAAACAATAATTATATTTAATAATTTTACATTGCTTATTACAAAATATAAGTGAAATTATCAAAAAATAGTTCAGTGAAAGAATGTTTGTAAAAACTTATATCTCAATGAGGTTATTATTTTTGCTTATTGAGATTAGTTGGCATCTGTGCTGCTTTGCAATATTATTTACTGTGCTCCTACTAGACTGTCACTGTGTCACTGTATCACTGTAATCCCATTGTTCATTGATTTCCTTGAGCAGGCACCAGTAATGTCTCCATTTGTACTAGCCCTGAGATTTTAGCAAGTGTCACATTGGAGACTCTTTTAGGGTCAGGGAAATGAGACCCATCATTGTAACTGGGTTTTGGCATATCAAATACACCACGGTGAGCTTGCCAGTCTCTGCCGTGCAGGCAGGATACTCTTGGTAGTCTGCCGGGTTCTCTGAGAGGAGAACTAGACAATTCTTCCACTTCTGGGAGCTTGGTTTTATAGTCTCTGGGTCTTGGCCATTGATGGAATTACACAGTTCTGGGGGCAGTTGGTGCATATAACGCCTAGCTACTGGAAGATGGGGGATCTGGGTGGAGGAGGCCCAGTCCCGATCCAAGCAGTCTTGGAGATCTCAGCCCTGGGTCCCGCACACCTGGGTTCCTCTGCCGGTTCCTTCATGCATGAGGCTCGTCTGAGCATGTGGAAAGTGGTCTTAAGCATGGCTGTGGCTTGTTCTGGAGGTCTACAGCTGCTGGGGCTCTGCTCCGGACTGTCATTTTGTGGAATTTGGAGCTGACTTACAGCCACATATGTGCCTTTGGGTTCCAGGAACTCTGGGATCTTTAAAACTGGGATAATTCTTAGCCTGCTCCGTCCTGAGGTGGCCCCAGAATTTTCAACCCAAAGACCAGTGTACTTTCATGGGCTTGGTTTAGCATTTCTTGGAAGATTCATTCTGTAAAGCTAGGACATTTATCTTGTACTGGCTGTGAGATCTAGGCTCAGTCTTAAACATGTTGAGAATTTCCTTGGGAGTCTAGGTGTGGATTTCTATGCAGTTACAGATGCACAGAATTCATAGTTGTGTACTTTATTGACTATGCTTGTGACTTGATAATTTTCAATAGACTATGATGTAAAGTCTTTGTATATAAAGATAAGCATTTGAAGCTAGCAGTATCATACTGATAGCAGTCTGTGCTCCTTTAGTCCACTGATAGCATTAAGTTAGGACTATTTCAAGGAAAATTCTTCATTAAAGTTACTTATTAGATTAGTTACTTCATTGAATACATACACATCTACCAGCATCATCTTTATTCTTTTGTGACAGCCATTTTATAATAGGTAGCTATTCTATTTGTTGATGAGTTCCACAAGTTCAGAAAGGAAGGTGCCATATTTTTATTAAAATTGGGACTAAATAAAATGGGGAAATGATTCAGTAAATGGATCATATACCCAAATGGTTTGTTAAATGGAGGAAGTGTCAATTTAAAGACTTACCAACCTCATGGACGTGCAATGGCTTTAGGCACTAATCATTTAGAATTGGAAAGACTTCTATCCTATACCTAAATGCCTCAGTGACTTTCTTTAAATTAACTACAGTCACAGAAGTGAAGAGATCTTATAAGTATTTTTAAATGAACTTTTATAATTTTACTTTCTATTGGCATCACAAGAGTATACTTGGGATTTTAAAGCTGGATTTAAAAGACTGTTTCTTGATTCATGAGACTGATAATGCTCAGAAGAAAGAGGCTTTTAAATGTTGCTGAAAATGGGCTGGAAAGATAACCTAAGGGGCTGTAGAGAGTGCTGTGATGGTCTGCTGAGTCTCACCACCTCTGGGCCTGAGCACTGAACGAACAAGCCTGCCAGCACAGTGAGGCGAAGTATTACTAGGAATGACTCCTGTGACCCCTGACTATTTTGCTTGGGAGTTAACCCATAAAAATTATGTTAAAAGTATTGGGGCTGGAGTGATAGCACAGCATGTAGGGTGTTTGCTTTGCATGCGGCCGACCCGGATTCGATTCACAGCATCCCATATGGTCTCCCAAGCACTGCCAGGGGTAATTCCCGAGTGCAGAGCTAGGAGTAACCCCTGAGTATCGCTGGGTGTGATCCAAAAAGAAAAAAAAAGTATTGCTGATACCTTTTTTTTTCTTTTTTTTGGTACTGATCTAGAAACTGCATCTTCAGTTTTTATGAAGTTAACTTTGTGAAAAGAGGATAGAGGAAAATAAATGATTCCACTTGCATAGAGAGAAAATTATGTTGTAGTCTTGGAATAATACAGTGGCTGTGAAATAGAGGAGAGAGATAGAGAGAGAAAGAGAGAGAGAGCCGTCATGAATGTGTTCTTTTATCAAACATTTATTAGCTCTATTATACCAGATTCTGACAATGCATTGGTGACCAAACGGGAAAAAATTCTAATCTCAAGAAGTTTTACACAACTGGAGGAGATAAATGTTAGTCAGATTCTCAACATGCTAATAAATGTAAAAATGCAGATGTGATAAGTGTGGTATAAGATAAGTCAAACTTCTAAAAGCATCTCAGGTAAAATTGACAAGCCTCCTTTGGTTATTGTGGTTTCTGAATATATAAATGACATGGTTCCTGCATTTCATTCCTGAAATAATATCCAAACTGATTTGTGTGACAGAAATAATATACAAGAAATGCCACTAAAGAAGGTATATTATGACAAATTATGTCTAACAGAGTAAAATGACCTTTTACAAAAGATGAGATCAATAAGCTATGAATTGAAAAATCTCATTTTGCAATTAATTCCACTTACTTTTCATTGTCATTATTCAATTTAAATATTGTACTTCAGGTATGAGATATAGTTTTCTCTAGTGTCTCTCCATTTTTTTTTATGCAGATGTTGCCAGAGCAATTGAATTACTGGAAAAACTACAGGAATCTGGCGAGGTACCAGTGCACAAGTTACAATCCCTCAAAAAAGTGCTTCAGAGTGAGTTTTGTACTGCTATTCGAGAGGTATGAGATTAAGATTTTAATGATTATAATCAGCAATATGTCTTCTGAAAAGAAAACATGTCCTTTCCATGCAAATTTTTGAGATAGTTAAGATGGTAACTAAATCTTAGCTTTCTGTTTTTAGCTACTTGGACAGGTTCTAAAATAAAATTTAATTAATTAAGGTAAAGGTTTTACCTTTTAAGGTAAAGGTAAAGGCCCTCCCGTTGATCGTCGATTTGCTCGAGCGGGCCCAGTAACGTCTCCACTGGAGACTTTGTTGTTACTGTGTTTGGCATATCGAATACTCTCGGTAGCTTGCCGGGCTCTCCGAGAGGGGCAGAGGAATCGAACTTGGGTCGGCCATGTTGGCCGCTTGTAAGGCGACCTCCCTACTGCTGTGCTATCGCTCTAGCCTAACCTCCAAACAAGCTAATTAATTAAATTATTAAATTAGATCAGTTAGAATTTATGCATACATATAAAATCAAATATTGACCTTCTGTAACCAGTGAAGTGCCCAGCAATGACTGAACAGTCTAGACTATGCTCTAGTCTCTTGAAGTTGTCTAGAAATTCAGGTTAAAAAGAATCACTATTATTAGGGATGAAGTGTACATGGGCATTGAGCTCTCTTAAAGGACACTCAGCTAAAGTTTTTGCAGGTGTATCTGAGAATCTTACTTACCTACTGGAAAATGTTATATTTAAACAAACAATATCTAATATAATAATGAAAAATCCCTGAAAGGTTGATGCCCTTGTAACAAATCTTTGTAATGCTTTCCTGGTAAATAGACTGAAGACCAAGGTGAAGCAGACACATTAAAATAATTATTTGAGTATTTTATATTGACTTATAGTGGAACTGACTGGTGAACTAATGAATTTACTTAATTATAAGAAAGTTCACTGATTATATACATATATATGTAAAAGATGCATATCTTTATATATATAAGATATATATGTACATCTTTTCCATAAGGAGATAAACAATAATTCATTAATGAGAATCACAAGTCCAGCTAACTACAAAATTTTCATGCTAAATATTACCCAGTAAGGAATTAGCTACTGTTACCTTTCCAAAGTTAGTTGAATTCATTGCCTGCTTAGAAAGTTTGGTATAGCAGAGAGCATAAATCCCTCAAGGAATGTTTATGTCATTCTCTTTCTCTTTACAGTACTCTAATGTACACTCTTGTGCATGACATGTGAGTTTATGAGTACTCTGTAGCTAGAAGGTACTTGCTCTGCATGCAGCCCATCTTAGTTCAATCCCTGACACCACCTATGGTCCCCTGAATACCACTAGGAGTAGCCCCCTTGAGCACAGAGTTAGGAGTACTTCCTAAGCATTGCCAGATAATAAAACTCAAAAACAAAACAAGATTTAGAACAAGGTTAATGTCAGCCAAATTGTTGCAAAATCTAACTCGGGTGTGCCATGGTTGAAATTTGTATTTTAGATACTTCATGGGGCTATGCCTCAATCACCCTGTTTTTTTTTCTAGCTACATTTTTGAAACTGAACAGCATATAATCAACCATTGCATCAGAGGAAATTAAATAAGAAATTAAAAAGTTTCTTCAAAATAAGCAGGAATGAAAGTATGAACTATCAGAATCTTGGGAGCATTTAAAGCAGTACTAAGAGGGAAGTTCTTAGTAAAGCAAGCTTACACCAGGAAACCAAGAAAAGCTCAAATAAATGACCTAATCTCATAGCTTTAGAAACTAGAAAAAGAACAAAGAATCTACAAAGTACAATGAAGGATATAATAAAAATTAGGAGAGAAATAAGTGAAAGAAAAATGAGACAATCAATACATATAAATTAGTATAATTGAAACCTGGAGCTGATTTTTGAAATGAATGAATAAAACTGACAGTTTCCTAGAGTTACAGTGAAAAAAAGGAAAACTCAAATAGATCAGTGATTAAAGTAAAGAAATTACAACAGACTCTCTAGAAAGACAAAATATCGTAAGTACTTTCTATGAAAATCTTTATGCCACTAAGCTGGAGAACCTAGAAGAAAAAATGAATTTTTCAGTTATACAAGCCTCCCAAGACTGAATCATGAATAAATAGAAAATCTTAACAGACTAGTCATGAAAAAGACAACTAAACCATAACTAAAAATCTTCTTCCAAACCAGAAGCAGGTCTTAAAGGTTAAAAGAATTACTAACTACACTACTCAAACTCTTATAAAATATTAAAGACACAAATATTCTTCATAATGGTTTCTACAAGTCCAGATTACCCTTATATCTAAAGTAGACATAGATATTATGAAAAAGAAAACATAAAATTACAGATTAATTTTCCTGTAATTTTTAAACAGCCATTCAGACATCTTCTAAACCTTAGGGAACCAAATGCAACAAAATATCAAAAAACACCAGTGGAATTGTTCTAAGGTTGCAAAGGTAATTCTATATATGCTTATCAATTAATGTAATACATCATATCAAAAAAGGAAAGATAGCATATATAATCATAGAAATAAATATATAGGATATTGAGTTTTTGACAAAATTCAATATTCACAATGTAAAAAAGCTCATTAAAATACAAGAAAAGGAGTTTATTTCAAGGTAGTGACAACCATGTAAAACAAATCATCACCGATAACCTCATTCTCAGTGGTGTAAAACTGAAATAAGAAATATATATGAGAACAAGGAATGAAGGAATGGAGGAAGAAATGAAGGAAAAGAAAGGAAGAAAGGAGGGAGGGAGGGAGGAAGGTAGGAGGGAGGGGGAGAGAGAGAGGGAGGGAGGGAGGGAAGGAAAGAAGGAAGGAATAAAGGAACTAAGGAAGAAAATTCGACCCACATCTTTCTTACAACATACACAAAATTAATTCAACATAAAGACCTAAAGATTAGAGAAGAATCTATAAGCTACATCAGAGAAAGCATAGGTGAAAGCATATATGAACCTCAGAGATGTCTTCAGTGATTACAGTGAATACATTAAATTAAATTTTTTTATGGTGAAAGAAACTTACTATCAGGTTCAAGTTCTGTGGGCAAAGGTATGGAGAATTCTCCAAAATTCAAAATAGAGTGCCCTTTTGAATCCACTGCTGGCATGTATCCAAAGGGGACTAACCCAGTAACTTAAGGGCCAGAGATATAGGACAGGGGTTTAGGCCCTTGCCTTGCATTCAGTCAATCCTGATTCTATTCCCCCTTGTACCACCAGGAATGATCCTAAACACAGAGTGAGAAGTAAGCCCTGAGTATTGTGGATTATGTTCCACTAAAACATAAGCATAAACAAAAAATTAACTTAAATGTATATACACACACCTGTGTTCATTCCAGTTTTAACTATAATTCACAAACTTTGAAAACAATGTACATATCTTCCAATGTCATATAGATAAAGAAGATATGATGTAAAATAAATGTTGCTTTTTATTACATTTTAGAGCTGGATTTGTCATGTTAAGTGAAATAAATCAATGGGAGAAAGATAAATACAGGATTATCTCACAGGTGTAGTAAATTAAAAAAAGGAGGGGGGTTAATAATACTTTGAACATTTATGACAGAATTCAGTTTCCCAAATGAAGTTGGATGGAAGGAAGAACTCGGCTAGAAGTGACACAAGGACAGTGATGCAGGATCTTAGTTATTTTGAAGGTGCAGTAACACACACACAAAAGGCAAACATGTCAATGCTATTGTAACCATATATCTCAACTAAGAGAAAACACAGACTTTGTTTTAAATTAGTTTCTGTTTTCACATGATGAGCTCATTAGTCTGCTATGTGGTAAATTGCTGAGAGAGTTCTGTTGCAAAGAACCAATTCCCACATTTACATCTATCTTAGGTTTTTTTGGTTTTTTTATGCCACAAAAATGCAGAACTTAATGAGATGCTCACCATAAATTACCTTCCTTACTACTTCAACAAATGTCTCATGTTAGTATTTTCTAATGTGGTACAACTATTGAGTAAAAAAATAAACCATTTCTTAATGGAATCTATATTACTGCTGTAATCATATCTGTAAGATAGCTGAAAAATGTTCCAGTTCTCCTCTCCTAAGCACAGTATAACTGGAATTCCTTCTCCTTCCCCCAACTACCAGTAGTTAAAACCACCTCTGTGGCTTTTGGAAAGATGTATGCCACTTCCTCATGTAAGTGTTTGATTCACTGTGGGATATGTTCTGCCACAAGATTAATGATATTATATATAATAAATGATCAATTAAATTGGGTTGCAGATTGAGGAAATGAGAAGTCTATATTTTAGCCCTTCTTTGAAAACATATAGCCCGTATAAAAAATAAACAAGTATTTGTTACTAGAAATTCCCAGTATACTGGGGTTATTGTAACTTAGGCTACCTTTACTGATAATATACTATCTTCAAGTGAATTTACATTGGAAAACATTTTCAGCAGTTCTGATTCTTACTGCTAGAAAGTGAAATTAACTTTTGAAACCATGTTGTAATTTTAGCAAGCTGTGATATAAAAAAAAATGTAAATTGTATTGGTAGTCAAAATATGTACCCTGCCAGTAAGATAGTTCATATATTTTTTTAAGTTTTGAGACACTTATAATTATAGATTTTGTTGGCTTTTAATTTTCTCCCAATTACCCTTACTCATGTCTGTTTCTTAATGAGATTGGAACTCATTACTTTTTAGTATTGTCTCCCCTCACCCCCCCCCCACACACGCATTCTCATACTATGTCTTTATAAATGGATATATTTGATTCTTAGATTTCAAAGCATAATCAGGATAGGAGAAATGTTGGAAACTATCAGCCTGTTGTTCAATTGTTATTAGTTTTCAATAATACCCCTCCCACAAGGGACCTTATTCCTAGGGAATTATCATTGTAATCCTACTTACCAGTGGTTCGTGGGAAATGCAATTCTGTTAGACCAGAGGGAGCAGCCAAATCACTAGTGGTTTTAGAGCCAAGTTGACCAGTCTTCCCATCCCAACTTGACAACTTATTTTTTACCTCTCTAAAATACT